ACTTTATCTTTATTTTCTGATATGACACTGATGGTCTCAGAACGTATTGGGTGCCACATAGAGCGGTATAGCTCCAGCTGCTTCTTGTAGTACTCTTTCTCTGCTCTATACAAAAATAATAATTTAAATATAATTGCAAATAGCAAAAAACAAAGAGAATGAGGAGAAAAAGAAAGAGTATTCAGCTAACCTTGAGTTAAAAGGTTTATATGGTGTAGGTAGAACAAACTTGTCAGTAAAACTATCGATGTACATGTTCGTATTATTTTTTCTGTTAAATTCTTCTTGAATCTCTGCAAAGCATTTTTGTATGCTGGCCCCCTGCTTCAAGTTATTCATAACAGTGTCTAGAACCACACTGCTATTCTCCTGGATTACAGATGTTATGAGAAGAATTGAATTTTTAGAAGGAATAGACGAAACCTCAAGTTTCTCTTTGGGCTCCTGGTCATGGGCTATATGAAAGTAATAGATTTTCGGTAATTGAGCAAAAGGAGACTGATCATTTTGGAGGCGCCCAAAAATTTTGTCAACCTCAACTATTTCGCTGTTGCAATCATAAAGGTGTCTGGTTTTGCCCTTACAGAGGAAAATAAAAGCAAATGTGGCCAACTGAGAGTGATCTATCTGATGAAGCACTTCCAGTAGAGTGTTGATTGGTCGAGAACTGAGTGAGTTGAAGTAGAGGGTACAATACCCAAGGTTGTTAAGGGCTTCCTTGATTTTCTGAGCATCATCATTAATCGTCTTAGTCCCATCTTCTTCTTTCTTTACTTTGCCATGATTATCAATTATGATAGCCAGATGAATCTCTACAAAATAATAAAATATGGAAAATAAATTTTAACAGAAGTGTCAGAATAAAAAAATTATGCATATTGTACATGTTCTTACTATCATTTAAATTCCACAAGCTAAAGTTGTGTTTTTTCTTAATTTGTGAGTGAGCAAATTTAATCAAGTCGTGTAACCAGTTCTCTCGATCAGGAAGCTTCATTGGGTTAGGATTATAAAATGTTGGCTTATAATAGCCAGCTGGTACAACTTCAACCGCCAAATCATCAATCTGTAGACGTTGCAATATAAAAGTGTTGATATCAGTTGCACGCAGTTGCACTCTATGAGCA